AGTAGTTTTTAGACATCAATGAACAGTCTGGAACAGCTTACGATTGATTATATCATGATTTAAACCAAAACTAATATAATCTGTGCATAGCCCAGAGCATCAAAAACCAACTTAGTTCTTTAGATATCAGGGGAACAGGTGGACACACACACATACACACACATGCAGACATACAGACATACTAACTGCAAAGACTCCCATTGTGTTTTTCGCACACAGGAGTAAAAAATCAGTGAAATAAATTCCAGCTAAAATAAAGTATTTTACAGAAATGAAGAAGGTTGTAATAAATTTAGCAGCACATACAGTTGAACCTGTACTACCAGTATGTCTTTATATACAGGCTGTTCTTAAAAGTGGTTGGATTATAATTTTATGGATTGCAAACTTATACATGTAATTAAATAATATAAATATAACAATAATATTTCAAAACAAACATATTTCTGAAAGCATGGTCACATGTGACAGGATGCTCATATATCATGTTTTATAACTGCCCAGAAGTCGTCTCTATATAGATGTGGTTACTAACACAAGTTTCTTCTACGATGTCAAGTATTTCACTGCATAATATGAGGTTATTATGAGGATACCTCAAAGTTCCCGTAATAACCTTATTATTATACCAAAATCCAAAATGTTCAGAACAGAATCAGCGAACTTCTTTCTGTGGAGGCCGGTCAAACCATGCTTGTTTTATTATCAGAGGACGCTTACGAGTGTAATCATTCTCCATATTTGGAATTTGAATTTCCTAATATGGTAGGATGAAAATCTCCCGTAAAATACCGCAAAATTACGGCACACTGTATTAAACTTATGGCGTTATAGTGACAGATGTATAATAATATAAATTTAAATCAAATCACCACCTACCTCTATTGCTGGGTTGAAACCTTTAAAAGACATTCTACCAAATTTGAGACATTCACAGGCAATATGGCTTGGTTCTAACGAGTATCTGTTCCTTAAAAAGACAACAAGCAGAATATTTTCAAATTAAATTTATCAAGAACGAGGGGAGACAATAAATGTTCCCTGGCTATCAGACATACACCACAAGGGTGCAATAAATCTAACATGTAGTCAAACTGTAGTCTTGTGACTGAAGACTGGAAAAAACTAAGGCCTCGGAAGGAGCTACATGTATACATGTACATGTATAAGTATATTACAAATTAAATTGTGTATAAGCACAGGATCCTTCATCATGCAGGCACTTGAAAGCCCAGTTTCTTTCCCCCATTTTTTAATACTGATACATTGTACTGTACAAAAATGTCATTTGTGATACCACGGAAACAAACACATGGTAAACTGTTGAAATGAGACAGACAGCTGCAAATTTGATCATTTCCATTCATCTGCATAATGTACAAGTACAAATCATCAGAACTGATATATCACACCTTGTTTTCTCATATGACTCTGTTTTATATAAACTAAACAATATGCCAAAAAAAAAAAGAATGTGATGATTAATCCAGGGTACATGCAAAAAAGCAATCAGCAACTGCAGCCCTGGGAGATAGAATGCAGTCTCCATGACAACTCACGTATGAATATTTAATGATTTGATACCAGAAGATGACACGTCTCTCAATGTTGTTCTTTGTTTACATAGTAACACAAATTTTCACCTGATATTTGAAATACACAATGTAATTTAAAAATCAAAAATTTTATCATTTGAAAACTTAGTAATTTACATGCAATAACATTTCTAAGAGTGTTATCAAAGGCCATCATTTTGGTACAAATTTTTTGTGTATTTTTCAATAATTTTTTGTTAATTTTGGACCAAAGGGACATACTATTTTATAGGCTGTAATTCTTGATCAAACGTTATGAAAAAAATTTGAATTTTCGTTTATTTTGTGAAAAGTGACAAATACTGACTTTGGCATTCACTCATTGTAGAAACACTGAATATGAATGCTAGTGCAGAAGTCAAAATACCGTAAAATCTGTATTAGAAGCTGCATCCCTAATAGAAGTCGCACCCATTTTTTTTGAATAATTGAGAACCAAAAATTCATCATTTCTCATATGTGTAGATGCTCTATTAGAAGCCGCATCCCCTCTGTTGCATTGTACCATTTTAATATAAGTCGCGGTTTCTAATACAGATTTTACAGTATATATTTTTTTTGGCCAAAACTACTGAATTCCCTTAACAAATCAATGTGATAAAATACATACTGTTTAGCAGTAAGCTCGGGAACATCGATAACCCAATGTGTTTCATCTATTCTTCTTTGTTGAGACTCTTCAAATTCTACTTTATTTTCATTATCTTGACGTCTTTGCATGAACTGTGTAGACAAGTTTAATAAGCATGTTCAACATTTTGTCTTGGCATACAGAACAAAAAACAAGTGAAAACCACTTCATATCAAATTCCAGTGTACATACAATTACGCTACATGTATAACAGACCCAGTGGTTGTACATGTACATATTAATTAAGACAGCTCTCATGTGCCTACACATTATTCCCAAATCTGTAATATCCCATAATGCTTCCAATTAACAACAGAAGAACAGCAAGTAGCCATGCGCTGTATAATAAAGTAGGTATTATCCAGTTTTGATTAATTTTCTCCACTGTGATCAATTCAGCTATTACCTCCAGGGTTAAAAATTTATTTGTACTAGAACTTGAACATTATAGCTGTAGCACTACAAAATTCTATGAGAGTTTGTTTTCCAATCATTTTATGTAATCATGGAGGTTTATTTAATTTACCATGAACAAACAATATTTTTGAATATGATTTAATTGTTAGAAAAATTATGCTGGGTTTGAGTCAGTGGTATAATTGCTGTATAATTATGGAAAAAGTGCGAAACACAGGAACATTAAAGCACTAACAGGCTCAAAAGTGAAACTACAAGTAACAGAAATGACATACACCTGTAGTTATGCTCCCTTGAAAAAAACATGAAAAAGCCATGTCAATTGTTTTCATTTTACATATGAACCAATTGACATGGCTTTTTCATGGTTTGGCACAGAACTGTAACCATGGCAATGGCTGTAAATCAACAGTGACAATTTTAAAAATAACCAACATGAGAATGAGCAAATCAACCTTAAAGCACATATAAATAATATAATACAGGATTATTTATAACATGGCTAATCTGGTTGCCGAAAGCAAGGTGTTATAACTGTGATCCCCCAGATAGATTGGAGTGAATATCAAACTGAATCAAGTGTTTATGGCTGAGTACTGTTCATAGTGATTGCGTATGTGTGATCAACTGATCAAAACAGGAAAACCTGGTACAATAACTAATCAAAGAAAGCTTAGAAAGAACTCTCATGTGCTGAGAGTATTGGAGACACATTAAATATAATTCGAAATTACTTAGCTGAAAACTAATTATGCAAATCAGAAAATTAATATGACCAGATTTGAGTGTAAAACTAATGAGGTCTGCGCAATGTAACAGAAAATCTATGTCTCCAAGTTTAATTGAAATGTGATTAGAACCAAAAAATTATGAATTATTATGCTTATTAGGGAATTAATATGAACAGATTTTTACCCCAAACTAATTAGGTTTGTACATTGTCCTAGAGCATCTTTGTACTAAGTTTCATTGAAATGGAATAATTAGTACCGTGAAAACTCCAAAATATCAACCCCTCTAAAAATTCGACCGCCTATTTATTTGCCGGGTTTCGGTGTTTTATTTACCTCCAAATTTTCGACTCCACTAAGAATTGCCGACTCATTCTTATTCGAAAATTGCGACCAGTTTTAGTTTTCCCCCAAACGAAAAAAAAAACGATGTGAGCGTTCAAACGGGACCTTCCTCAAAGGCATGAATCCGGGTTTCTGATTGACTGAGAGATTTTTATTTTATTGGTAACGAAAATATATTCTAAATAAACGAAGTTTCAAATAAAAACGAACACAAAAATCTCGGCATGCTGCGTTTCTGAATTGTTGATTATTACTGTACTCAGTAGTGATTATAATAATGTACACAAAATAAATTTGTTGAATGGTTATGAAATACAAATAAAAGTCAACTTAGTTTCATCGTAAGCGAATGATTCCGGTCTCGTATAAACGTTTGATGCTGTAGGATATCCGCCATGTTCTCTTAGGTCAAATAGGTCAAATCGCTAATTAACCAATCAAAAAGCTGGATGATGTCAACGTGTTCAAATTATCATAGCTTATTTAAATATGTTAATGTTATTGTCCTACAGCATCCATGTACATTCATTGATATGTGATGTATAGTACCTGAGATATCAGTGTGAAAGTTGGTTAATTATGCAAATTAGGTGATTAATATGCACAAATATTTACCGGAAACTAATTGGGTCTGCATAATTCTAGATTCATTGAAATGTGATGATTAGTACTTTAGATATCAGTAGAAAAGCTGAAAATTAATTATGCAAATTAGGTAATTAATATGCACAATTATTTACCCTAAAACTAATCAGGTCTCTGCATAGTCCTAAAGGATCTATGTACCAAGTTTCATTGAAATGCGATGATTTAGTACTTGAGATACCCGTGGAAAAGCTGA